CAACACTGGCATCTCTTATGTTCTTATGTTCTTATGGGGTGAGCTAGATCACAGTTTTTTAGCCTCCGGCTCACACATTTTTGCCTTAACTCAGGGAGGATGGCTCCAGAGCAAACTAATTTAGGCAGTAGCCAAATCGCTCGCCTACGGTTTTAATGGCAGTCGCTCAGAAAGTCGAATTTTTGCTCAAAAGACTCCACAGCTTAGAGGGAGCACTGGCCACTTTTTAAATGAGTGAATTTTTCAACAAAATTGGTGACTTTTTAAAAGAGTTTGTTATTAAAATAAATAAATGAATAAATAAATAAATTTGATAAATAAATAAATATTTTAGTGACAGAATCATAAGCCGGTGGGTTGAAGTACTTAATATTGACCTTCGAATATGCTCTAATACCGGTTTCGTGTGGCCTCAAAATGTCCCTGGAACTGGTCAAATTTCAAAATTTTTCTTGGGGGGCTTACAGCACTTTTCTCAGGGGCTTGCGGCCCAGGACATTTTTATTCATGCAAGTGACTTTGACATGTGAGATAACCCGGTGCAGCAATTGTAATCAAAATCTGAGATGTAGAAGTGAAGAAGAAGAGCTTGGATTTATACCCCGCCCTTCACTACCCAAGGGAGTCTCAGAGCGGCTTGCAAAATCCTTCCCCTTCCCCTCCCCACAACAGGCACCCTGTGAGGCAGGTGGGGCTGAGAGAGCTCTGACAGAAACGGCTCTTTTCCAACAACAGCTGTGCCAGGACTATGGCTTGCCCAAGGTCATCCAGCAGGTGCAAGTGGAGGAGTGGGGAATCAAACCCGGTTCTCCCAGATAAGAATCTGTGCACTTAACCACTACACCAAACTGGCTCTCATGTAGTGGTTACATTTTTTCAAAAAATTGTGGTGATCTGCCACGGAACAACCCCACTGAAGAAGATAACGGCAGTTCCCCAGGCCTTGTTGCTGGTGGGGAGAGGCTCACCGTAGGGCCTGTTTTCAAGGGTTCCCCCTCAACACCCCGTTCTCCGCCCTTTGGGCCTCGAGGTCTTTTCCAAGGGCACAAGGCCCTTTGGACCTTCTTGGATGTTGCCCTAGCGTTGCTGGTTGAGAAGGGCCCCCCGTAACAGTTCAAGCTTCAGGGTCCCAAAAATGTAGGCCCGCCACTGGTTTACATTTTATTTATTTCTCAGAGCATCTGTACCCCGCCTTTCCTCTTGGTTCAAGGCGGCTGACGGCGATAAGTAAAACGTCCCCACCTGAAACCAAAGGTAAAAGAGCAAGCCAGGGGCAGCACCAAATCTCTCCCCGCCCCTCAAAAGATGCCTGCCAATTCAGCCCGGGCAAAGAGGCAGGCCTTGTAGCAGCTCCGGAAGGTCTCCAAGGAGCGGTCCTCTCTCACGTCTTCAGGGAGCCTGTTCTCCATTGCTGGAGCCACGATGGGAAAGGCCTAAGGATGCCACCCTCCAGGTGGGGATCAATGTTCCCTCCAAGCCGTGGAGTCTTGTGAACAAAAATTCTTCTTCGAGAGCTACTGGCATTAAAGTTGTGAGCGAGCGATTGGGCTGCTGAATATATTAGTTTGCTCTGGAGCCATCCTTCCTGAGCTGAGACAAAAATGTGTGAGCCGGAGGCTAAAGAACTGTGAGCTAGCTCACACTAACTCAGTTTAGAGGGAACACTGGTGGGGATCCCCCCGAATTGCAGCTCATCTCCAGACTACAGAGATTAGTTCTTCTGGAGGAAGAAGGAGAAGGAGAAGAGGAGGAGGAGGAGAAGAAGAGGAGGAGGAGATTGGATTTATACCCCGCCTTTCATGACCCAAAGGAGTCTCAGAGCGGCTTACAATCACCTTTCCCTTCCCCTCCCCACAACAGACACCCTGTGAGGTCGGCGGGGCTGAGAGAGCTCTCTCGAGGACTGCCCTTGAGAGAACAGCTCTGAGAGAACTTGTGACTAGCCCAACGTCACACCAGCAGCTGCATGTGGAGGAGTGGGGAATCAAACCCGGTTCTCCCAGATTAGAGTCTGCGCTCCTAACCACGACACCACTGAGGGTACAATGCCTGGGCTCCACCCCAAATCTCCAGGCATTTCCCAGCTTGGATCTGGCAACACTGCTCCTCCCCATCCTCTATCATTGACCAGGGGGGACCTGGTAGCCCTAAAAAGGCCCCGGCTCTGGTCAGTGTCAGACGGTACCCTGGTGGAATAGCCCCAAGATAGCCTGAATAGCCTGAGGGCCACAGTTGGCACACAAGGATGGTCCTTCAAATGGGACTAAAACTCGTATTTATGGCCATGCTGGTAGACAGTGCTCTACAGCCAGCTTAGATAGTCCAACTGGGAACTTGGGGACTTGGGTTCAAATCCCCCGATCTGCTGTGGAAACTCACTGGGTGAACTGGGGCCAACAAATCTCATTCTGGCCTACCCCGTGGGATCATTGTGAAGAGAACAGGTTGGAGGGGAAACCTGTGTACGTTGCTCCAGCGTCCTTGGAGGAAGGGGCAAAGGGGAAGGCCAGAGTGATAAAAATTGTCTTGGGAGGGTCTTGACCCGCTCTGACTCTGCCATGTTCAGAGGCTGCAGACTGGGTTTGGGACTGTGGTTCGTGGAACAGCTTGGGTCGGAATCTGTGGCACGTGGCCCCTCCAGTCCACGGGCCTGAAAAAAAAAACGTGGCTGCGCTGAAACACCCGTCCTCCCTGCATCGTTTGGTGCTGGCACTGTGTGACCATTGTCTCTCTCTCTCTCCGCCCAGGTCCCACCTCCGGACCCTCATGGTGTCGCCCTGCTCTGCCTCGTTCCTTCTGGCCTCTTTCGGCCTTTACCTAGGTGAGTCACCGGGTTTTTTTCCACAGAGCTTTGCTCAGGGCGACGTCCCCTCCAAAGGCCCTCTGGCTCGGAAGAAAGGCCGCTATCGGAAGACTTCCAAATGCTCCGGAGCCCACGTACATAACATGCCATCGGTCTGGGCTATGCGTAGAATGCTGATTACCCCCCCAGGGCAGATCGCAGACAATTTTCCCGCATGAGTGTTGACCAGACTCGAGGGAGGATAGAAATTCGCTGCTGACACAAAACATCTATCGGGCAGGGCCGAAGCAGAGCTCTGGACCTGCACACTTCCGTTTCTGCATCCCATTTTAGAGTCCCATGGTGGGAGGGGAGGGTTGCCCTCTCCAGGTTGGGAAATACCTGGAGATTTTAGGGGTGGAGCCGGAAGAGGGTGGGGAGGGACTTAGAGAGGGTATCATGCCACAGATTCCTCCTTCCAAAGCAGTAGGGTTGCGGGGCCTGGAGATCTCCCGCTTTTGCAACCGATCTCCAGCCGACAGAGATCAGCTCCCCTGGAGAAAATGGCCGCTCTGAAGGGTGGACTTTTTGGCATCGTACCCTGCTGAGGCCCCTCCCCTCCCCAAGCCCCGCCCTCTCCCGGCTCCACCCCCAAAGTCTTCAGGTATTTTCCAGCCCAGACCCGGCAACCCTACAAAGCGGCCATTTTTTCCAGGCGAACAGATCTCTGTCACCTGGAGATCATTGGTAATAGCAGGAGATCTCCAGGCCCCACCTGGAGGTTGGCAACATTAGCTGAAATGGGGGCTCCCTCACCCTTCCATTTCTGCTTTTCGGAAGGTTGAAGGGCACCCTGTTTTAGATGTCCGTGGTGGTAAGGGCGGGCGACCAGCTCTGGTTTGGGAAAGACCTGAAGATTTGAGGCTGGAGCCTAGGGAGGGCGGGGTTTACGGAGGGAGAGACGTCAGTGGGTAGAATGCCACAGAGCCCACCTTCCAAAGCAGCCATTTTTCTCCAGGGGAACCGATCCCTGCTGCCCAGAGATCGGTTGTAATCCCAGGAGATCTCCAGCCACCACCTGGAAGTTGATAACCCCGTGGGAGGAGTGGGATTCACCCAAACAGTGATTCACACCTGGAATTCACTGCCACAGGAGGGGGTGGCGGCTACAAGCATGGACAGCTTCAAGAGGGAATTGGATAAGCATATGGAGCAGAGGTCCATCAGTGGCTCTTAGCCACAAAGTATAGATAGGAGCTCTCGGTCTGGGGCAGGTGATGCTCTGTATTCTTGGTGCTGGGGGGGGGGACAGTGGGAGGGCTTCTAGTGTCCTCTGGCCCCACTGGTGGACCTCCTGAGGGCACCTGGTGTTTTTGGCCACTGTGTGACAGAGTGTTGGACTGGATGGGCCACTGGCCTGATCCAACATTGGCTTCTCTTATGTTCTTATATGGAGGAGAGGTCCATCAGTGGCTATTAGCCACAAGGCATAGATAGGAACTCTCGGGCTGGGGCAAGTGATGCTCTGTCTTCTTGGTGCTTGGGGGGGGGGCAACAGTGGGAGGGCTTCTCGTGTCCTGGCCCCACTGCTGGACCTCCTGAGGGCACCTGGTGTTTTTGGCCACTGTGTGATCCAGAGTGTTGGACTGGATGGGCCACTGGCCTGATCCAACGTTGGCTTCTCTTACGTTCTTACTCCGAAACTCAAGTAGTGTTGTCACCAACATGGGATTTGCTCCTTTGACATGCACATCTGCTTCTTAGATTATGTGTGCGAATGTCAGCCCCTGTAACATGGCTGGAAATCAGAGCTCCCCACGGAGCAATCTTACATGATCTGAGATAGACGTGGACAAACACTTCTCCCTCTCTACATAGTACACTTGCGGAATTTAGGCTGTTTTCCCACCCTGCGTCCGAGACGCCCTGGCCTCTCACCTTCCACCTTCCACAGTCTTGGAAATTACGTTGAGCTAAACTGGCCGCATCACAGCCTGTGTCGTGGCCGAAGGGGATTCAAACCTGGGACTCTCATCAGCTGCAGAGCTTAGTGGTGGCATGGAGATTCGAAGCCACGTCTCCCAGCTGCTCGTTGGGCGCTTCAACCACTACACCGCACCGTCTGGGTGGTGTGTAAGACAGCTTCTCTGGTTTGGACTCTCCACCCTGGCTGCCTTCTCTCTTCCTGACGGGGTCCCTCTTGTCTTCTTTTGCAGGACTCTCCTTGGATGCGGTGGAAACAGTGTCTGTACGTTGGTTTCTCTTCCTTCTGAGGGACCCGGGACCCATTTGGGATTTGGGGGATTGCTTTCAGCAGGGCATCTTCTTTAGAAAGACGCCAGGGCTATTTTTGGGCAGGAACGCACAGGAACGGAGTTCCGGCTGGCTCCCGAGTTGGCCACGCCCAGCAGGAACTCATTAGCATAATAGGCCACACCCAAGAGCAGAAACTCATTAGGATTGGCTACATTAGGGGTGTGTGGCCTAACATGCAAAGGAGTTCCTGCTACAAAAAAAGCCCTGGGTTTGGACAACAAACAAGGTAAACAGATTAAGAAGCAAAAGGTGGGTGTGGCTGGATGACCACACTGCTGGTAACATGGGTGAGTGGCCTAATATGCCAATGAGCTGTGCTGTCAGGGGTGTGGCCTGATATGCTAATGAGTTTCTGCTATTGGGTGTGGCCCATTATGCTAATGAGTTCCTGCTGGGCTTTTTCTACAAAAAAAGCCCTGACTGTGACTATGGGCCACACCACACATGCGCATGAAGTCAGAACCACCAGAAATGTATTCGACTTAATTATCAGGTTCCTGGGGTCCCCTACACACCTGACAATTAAGTTTAGGAAACCGCTGGGTGTTCCAGACACGGCACGCCCAGCACCTATCTGGTGAGGCCGTAAACACTCGACAAAGCGGGTATTTTCGCCACTTATTTATTGCAAATTGAAATGTCTGTTTGGCATGTTAGTTCCTCACTGACGGGGCCTCTCCCTCAGTGGCCTATTTTAGGTTTCGAGCCACACGACACTCTTTTCAGGAAAGAAGTGCAATGCTTAGTTGTCTCAGCCGTCGCCTTGCTGCTGAAGAACTCGGGTGAGCGCCCGCCATTGGGGTCCACCCTATTTCGGCAGTGGCTCAAGTGGTTAAGACGCTGAACTGCAGGCTTGAAGGTCAGTAGTTGAGCAGTTCGAGACCCGAGTGCCACATGACGGAGTGAGCTCCCGTCTCTGGTTCCATCTCCTGCCAACCAAGCAGTTCGAAAGCAAGAAACTGAAAGTAGATAAATAGATACCACTTCGGCAGGAAGGTCACAGCATCCCATGCACCTCGGCATCTAGTCATGCCGGCCACATGACCACAGAAACATCTTTGGGAAGCGCTGGCTCTTTGGCTTGGAAACGGAGATGAGCACCGCAACCCTAGCGTCGGATTCGACTGGCTTTAAAGCAAAGGAAACCTTTACCTATATTTTGGCAAAAAGGATTCTTCAACAAGCGTTTGGGTTTTTTGGAACATAAAATCATATTTTCTCCCCAGAGGGATCGTCATGTCGCATAGTCTAGGCTTAAAAGCAAGTGGTCGATTTTGCGATAAGTGTGAGGGCGGGAAACCTTTTTTTTTTAAAAAAATGAAAGCCGGGGATGTTCGGTTCCACCTCATGTGCTTGGTGCGCTGTAGCTGGGGGTGTGCAACGGCCCTGAATGTTCTTTACTCTGCGTTCTGCGCCGTAAAATTCTCTTTTTGCCTTCTGACTTTTCTCTCCCTTTTCCTTCCAGTGCCCAGCCACCAGGATTAATGGTAGGTAGTCTTGCTTATTCTATAGAGCAGGGATCCCCAACGGGTGCCCACCAACACCTTTCCTGGTGCCCCCCCCGAGTGTTTTTAGAAAGAGGGTAAGGCTGGGCGGGGCTTTTGCTCAGCAGGGCTTCTGATTGGCCAGTGGGGTAAGGTGTGGCAGCCATTTCGTGAGAGAACCAGCTTGGTGTAGCGGTAAAAAACAGCAGACGCTAACCTGGGGGACTGGGTTTGATTCCCCACGCCTCCACATGCAGCCAGCTGGGTGGCCTTGGGTCAGTCACAAGTTCTCTCCGAGCTCTCTCAGCCCCACCTACCTCACAAGGTGTCTGTTGTGGGGGGAATGGAAGGCAGTTAGAGCGGTTCCTCAGTGGAACGGGCTTCCTCGGGAGGTGGTGAGCTCTCCTTCTTTGGAGGTTTTGAAGTAGAGGCTGGATGGCCATCTGACAGCCATGCTGATCCTGTGAACTTGGGCAGATCATGAGAGGGAGGGCAGGGAGGGTGGCCTCAATGCTTAGTTTTCATGGCCCTTTCTTACACACCCAGGGAAGTGCTGATCGCCACTTTTGGGTCAGGAAGCAATTTTCTCCAGGCCAGTTTGGCCAGGGATCCTGGATGGTTTTTGCCATCTTCTGGGAATGGAACAGGGGTCACTGGGAGTTTGTGTGAGAATGTGGGCAAGGCCGAGTGAAGCTTTTGCCCAGCAAGACTTCTGATTGGCCATTGGAGATTTGATTGGCTGTGCAGATTTTTTTTTTTGCTTTGGCATCAGCTGCCAACACAGCACAAGGATCTTTATTTTGTGCCTGAAGGTAAGTGGCGGTGGCCATTTTGTGGTTGGCTCCACCTCCTGAAGCAGCCATTTTGGGGCAGCCATTTTGGGGCAGCCATTTTGGGACTGCGTTCTCACCATGCAGTGTCAGAAATCCCGAAGGTGCCCACAGGCCCCAAAAGGTTGGGGATCCCTTCTGTAGACCTTCTGGAATGAACTTTGCTCAGACTGTATTTCTTTTCTCTTTCTTTTCAACAGCTTCCGCCGTCTGCGATGGCGTGGAGAGGTAAACCTGAGAAACCAATTCGCCAGCCGCGTGGATCGTTAATATTTCCCTCCTGCCATTCTGGGCTGAGAACTTCTCAGCCAAAGCTCCACGAGATTTCTTTGGGGGCAAAGATCTCCTCGATAAGGGGAACGTAAACATGGATTATCTGGCATGTGTGGCGGGTAGTTTTAATTCTAATGTGGGTTGCCAGCTGCTCCTCTGCCTCTAACGGCTGCGTCACCTGCAGACATCTGTAGGAAAATGGTGTTTCTATGCTACGAATAGTTTCATGGGCCCCTGTCCCACGCAAGCTGTAGAATCAGGCGCATCCAAACCTTTCCATGGAAGGATGGGAGCCAGTTTGGTGTAGTGGTTAAGTGCGCGGACTCTAATCTGGGAGAACTGGGTTTGATTCCCCACTCCTCCACTTGCACCTGCTGGATGACCTTGGGCACGTCATAGTTCTATCAGAGCTGTTCTTGAAAAGAGCAGTTTCTGTCAGAGCTCTCTCAGCCCCACCGACCTCACAGGGTGGTTGTTGTGGGGAGGGGAAGGGAAAGGAGATTGTAAGCCGCTCTGAGACTCCTTTGGGTAGTGAAGGGCGGGGTATAAATCCAATCTCCTCCTCCTCCTCCTCCTGGTACCATCCTCTGGGTTTCTCTCATGTCTCAGCTTGATCTCTCTCACTTTCCTCACAGGAACGACGTCGAATGGCCTCCCAATCTCACCCACCTGGTTTGTGACAACGTAAGTTGAGGGACCGAATCGCACTTTTGGAACTCCCCGGCCGGGTCTTCTTTAAGCCACGTTACCGTGCGCAGGGCTACCATAACAGAGCCATTGAGTCGTGGCCGGGTTGTGCCACGGTAGTCCTCGGCTGTTCAGCGGGCCGGGGGTGGGTGGGCATTGTGGCTTCCGTTCTTCGGCTCAGAAAAGTGCGGAAAGAACGTGAGGAGAAGAGAGGCCGCAGATGTGGGCTATGGATTTTGTAAGGGTGTCTCAGCTGTTGAATGTTCGTCGCTTCTCCTGGGAACCATAGTTTGCTAAACTGCCGAGGATACTGCCGGGGATTATGATTCCCTGAGGAGAGAGTTTATCCAGCTCCCATTATTAAGTAGCAGTAGAAAAGAGCCAGAGTCCAGGAGCACCTGAAAGGCTAACAAAATTTGTGGCAGGGGAGGAGCTTTGGGGAGTCACCACTCACTTCTTCAGATACCAAAAGAAGTGAGCCCTGACTCACGAAAGCTCCTCCCCTGCCACAAAGTTAGTCTTTAAGATGCTCCTGGACTCTGGCTCTTATCTACTGCTACCTGGGGTCATTTCGTAGAAAAAGAGGTGCAGGAGCTCATTAGCATAACTCATTAGCATAACTTATTTGCATATAGCACCCACCCCGACATCAGCGGAAGTGTGTCAGAAGGCAACACCCACCGCTCAGGCTCCACTGGACTGTTTTGGATTGCTAGCTATTGGGGGGGGGGACGTGCAGATCTGTCCTCGTAGAAGAGGGAGAGCTTGTACCTGAATAAAACTTGGTCTTAAAGGTGCCACTGGACTGTTTTGGATTGCTAGCTATGGGGGGGGGGAATGTGCCGATCTGCCCTCACAGAGGAGGGAGAGCTTGTGCCTGAGGGCGGGCCGGGGGGAGGCTCTGCAACTTACCTGGCTGCCTCTTGCTCCTCGTGGCCCGACTGAGGGCTGCTGGGAGCAGGGGGCGGGCCTTGTTGCCTGTGCCCGCCCCCTGGGCTCCTTACTGCCGGAGCTCCGCTCTTGTGCGCTCCTGCAGGAAATGATCCCCGACTGCTACGGACAGACTAGCACGGCGAGTTGGCGACCCATCTCCATCGTAATGTAGATTTCTCAGGAGCGAAATTTTAGGAATGGAGCCTAGGGAGGGAGGGGTTTGAGGAAGGGAGGGACCTCAGCTGGGTACAGGGCCACAGAGAGCACCCTCCAAAAGCGGCCATTTTCTCCAGGGGAACTGATCTCTGTGGCCTGGAGATGAGTTGTAATAGTGGGAGATCTCCAGCCGGTACCTGGAGGTTGGCAACCTTGCTCGTGACACCCTTCCCCCGTTGCTAGCAGTTGTCGACAAAAGTACACGAGACACGGGCCTCCGATGTCCTGCTCTCTCTCCTCTTTCCGTAGCTCCACAACCTGCCCCAGGTCAATCACACTTTTATCCTCGGAGCCTTGGAGTTTGGCCTGGGGAAGAACAAAGACACGCCGCTAAATATCGCTCGGGTTCTCTTCAGCGAAGTGGACGGGGCAGCGCTGGAAACGGCACTGCAGGCATTCAGTGACATGGTGAGCAAGAAACCTTTGGAGAGTGACAGGAATGTGTTGGGCAGGGGACCCCGAAGGACACTTGTTGTGATGTACTTTGGGTCCCAGGAGACTTTCTTCAAGGCCAGACGGGTTCCTGTCTTTGGAGTCTGGACTGTGACTTCTAAGAGCCTGCTGGGACCTTTGGGATTCTGGCACAGGGTGGCGGGCGCAGGTACAAAATGGCTGCCGCAGGAGGTTGATATTAACCACAAAATGGCTGTTGCAGGAGGTGGGGCCAACCACAAAATGGCTGCTGCAGGAGGCGGGGCCAACCACAAAATGGCTATTGCAGGAGGTGGGGCCAACCACAAAATGGCTGCCACGTGAGGTGGAGGCAACCACAAAATGGCTGCCGCAGGAGGAGGTGCTCTCAAGGGTTTCCTGTCTGCCTTCCAGATCGAGAACTCCTCCCTAATTCCACACCTGTGGAAGACGGCAGTGCTGACGGCGTTGTGGGACGAGAGGCTCCGAAACGAGGCGCGGTTCAATGAGACGGCCTTCGTAGCGGCCTGGTTCCAGAAGAGGCTGCGGCCCTTCCTCTCCGCCGTGTCCCCTGCCATGCTCCAGTGCCTTCAGAACGAAACCATGCTGTGTGCTCAGTATCAATCCATGTATGTGCCTTCGTGGTACCCCATTGAAGTCTCACCCCTCCCCAAACCCCGCCCTCCTGAGGCTCCAATCTCCAGGTATTTCCCAACCTAGAGCTGTAACCCCAGGCGTTAGTATGCATGGGGTGCCCATTGATTGTTAGTTTTTAACTTAATTGTGGCCCCGTTCACACGGAGAAGTTGCCACGCTGAAGACACAAATGATAGGCGGATTTTCCGGGCGAGATCACACCGCAACATCTGGGAAGCGTAGTGCACCCATGGCTAACCCGTAGCTTGTTGCCGAAGATGTGGAGTAAAAAACCACCACATACGATGTACTAGTTTCCAGGAAATGCGGGGCAAGGGTGGGCGGCTGATCGCGTTTCCGCTGGAAACCCGTGGCATCCGGCACCCGCCCATGTCCCGTTGCAAACCGGATGGTTTTTTTTTTAAAGTCTCCACAGGATGCGCACAAACGATCATGCACATGCGCAAACTTCGGTGAGACAAAAAACAATCCCGTTTCTCACGGAAGCGGCGCGGCGCAATTGCCAGTGTGATCGCGCCATGCGGCTTCTTGCACCTAACGGCCTAACCATGGGACCTCGACAGGACATCTGATCGGGCTGCCGCGCGTTACTTTGTTCCGGGGCAAACAGCCACGCTCCCCCCCCGAATTTTCCAGCCCGTGTGACCGGGGCCTATAATTTTTCTCTTTCCTCCACTTGCGGAATTAGTTCTTGCCGCTATCGCTTCTTTTACAAGCATTTTTCTTGCCCATTATTTTACAGTTCCAGATGTGCTTTCTTTGTTAAAACTGAGTGGTATGTTTCTGTTTCATCTGATTCACCCATCTTGAATGACGTCAAGTTTGTTGCGCTTGGATTTCTTTCTTTTTTTGGCAAATAGCCTCAGTAGATGTGCTGAGAGCATGGTGTAGAATCCAATACATAAATTAGTCCCTTCTCTTTCGTCCAGTTTGGTGTAGTGGTTAGGAGCGTGGACTCTAATCTGGGAGAGCCGGGTTTGATTCCCCACTCCTCCACATGTAGCTGCTGGTGTGACCCTGGGTCAGTCATAAGTTCTTTCAGAGCTGTTCTCTCAGAAGCAGTCCTCGAAAGAGCTCTCTCAGCCCCGTCTACCTTACAGGGTGTCTGCTGTGGGGAGGGGAAGGGAGAGGAGGTTGTAAGGCACTCTGAGACTCCTTTGGGTGGTGAAGGGCGGGGTATAAATCCAATCTCCTCTTCTTCCTTCTTCTTGGCTTCCAGAGTGAAAGGCCTAGATCTGGAATTTACCAAGATGAGCCACCAAACTCAAGAAGATGTTTTCCGCTTTTTCCAGCTGCCTTACTTGAAGGGGTTGAATTCTAATGGTAAGGGACAATCCTGTCCATTGGAAACCGAACCGGGGCTTCCTCTAGCTATCCCTGTAAATAGACAATGGGCTTTTCCACATCCTCATTTTCCTTGCTTGTAAATTCCAGGTTCCTGGAGGCTTTTTTTCCTGTTCCACACATGTTTTGCTCCCTCTAGTGGTTGATTCGATATTACATCGCTTTTTGTCCGGCATAAAAAACTGCAGTTTAAATCTGCAGAGAGATATGCTGGACGTAAACTGATGTAATATCGGATCAACCACTAGAGGGAGCAAAACATGTGTGGAACAGGAAAAAAAGCCTCCAGGAACCTGGAATTTACAAGCAAGGAAAATGAAAATGTGGACGAGACCAATGTTTTGGTGTGTGTTCTGGACAGTCAATGAAAGACCCATGCATAGCAGGCAAAGGTTTTAGAGACCTGGTCAGTATGGAGATGGTGTTGGGTTTGGAGATAAACATATTGGGCCCTGAGAAATGCACTATTCACCTGTCTTAACGTTGACCCTCCTATGGAATATGAGTTAGAATGCTCTAAATGTCACTGTCCAACTTCAGTCTAGAGCATTTTCCCACCTCATACATTTTGATCCCTCCCTCCAAAGAGCTCAGAGCAAGATACGGATTCACCCTTCCCCATTTTATCCTGACAACAGCCCTGTGAGGTCGGCTAGGTCCAAGAGGGAGTCGCTGACTCAGGGTCATCTAGCGAGATTCATGACAAAGTGAGGATCTGATTCCCAGGTCTCTGCAGTTCCCTGAAGGGAATTGCAGATATCTTCCTCTGCCCAATATCCTCTCTGTCTCTACTGTGGTCATTGGTAGCGGGAAGAGGAAGAAAAAGAATGCTTGGCATTTGTCAAACATCAGAGATGAAGTTCGTCAGTGTGCTCAGTTTCTGGTCTGGCAGCAACTGCGCAGGCATGAGACAGAGTGCTGGTTCTGTAAGGATGCCTGATGGAGACCCCTGTGGAGCCCAAGACATTGCCAGTTCTCAAATGATCCTTCCTTGTCCCTAAACACAGGCTATCATTTCTCCTACTTGGCACCCCCCTTTGCGAGCAGGATGCTAAATCGGGTCTGGCGCCCTGGCAATTTCACCATGGCTATTTGGTCGCTTGTTTCTCACAGGATCGGCATGCGCAGTGGGCCTCAACAGCTCCGAGTGGCTGGCGGTCAATTTTGGAATGTTCGGCCGATTTGCCAAATACCGAGACTTCGTTTCTCTGAATTCCGGATTTGACAGAGTAAGTCTGTAATGTATTGAAACGTTTACATGAATCACCTCATAGGGCTCCTATGTTAAGCTTCGAGCGAAGAATTTTAACTGTAGCCCTGGACAGTCTAAACTAACCCTGTATAGTGTTACCTGTACCTCTAGATTCGTAATGGTCTGGTGTGTGCCCCTTACCAAGGCGGGTAGAATGTTAAAGGAAAGTTAGCTGGAATGCACA